GGTTCAGCAAAGCAAAGGGTGTTTGCTTTTCATCGGAGACCAAAAAGTTTCTTGAGGCAGCGATAAGCTGTCAGGCTTCTGGATGGCAAAGTTGACACTGCACTTCTTGATGCAAAGAATCAAGTCTGTGGGGTGGGGCAGCCCCCGGTACCAGTACAGGCTGGGGGAGGAAGGGATCCAGAGCAGCACTGCCCAGAAGGACTTGGCAGTGCTGATGGGTGAAAAGCTGGACATGAGCTGGCAATGTGTGATCACAGCCCAGAAGGCCAACCATGTCCTGGGCTGCATCCAAAGCAGTGTGCCCAGCAGGTTGAGGGAGGGGATTCTGCCCCTCTGCTCTGCTCTGGGGAGACCCTCCCCTTGCAGTGCTGCGTCCAGCTCTGGAGCCCTCAGCACAGGAAAGACATGGACCTGTTGGAGCAGGGCCAGAGGAGGCCACAGAAATGATCAGAGGGATGGAACACCTCTCCTGTGAGGACAGGCTGAGAGAGTTGGGGTTGTTCACCCTGGAGAAGAGCAGGCTCTGGGGAGACCTTATTGCAGCCTGCCAATACGAAAGGGGGCTTATAAGAAAGATGGAGACAGACTTTTTAGCAGGGCCTATAGCGATAGCACAAGGGGTAATGGTTTTAAACTAAAAGAGAGTAGATTTAGACTAGATATAAGGAAGAAATTTTTCACAATGAGGGTGGTGAAACCCTGGCACAGGTTGCCCAGAGAGGTGGTAGATGGCTTCTTCATACGAGGCCACATTCCAGGTCAGGTTGGACGGGGCTCTGAGCAATGTGGTCTAGTTGAAGATGTCCCTGCTCACTGCAGGGGGATTGGACGAGATGACCTTTAAAGGTCATCTAGTGTTTGTAATACAAGTTTCTCATATTTTTATTGCAGATTTGTTGGAAGAATTATCATCTACAGAAGCAACCAAGAGCCCGTAGCCAGGTTGGTCTTGCAGCTGCCTCGCTGACCTTCCTCAGAGATGTTGGGCATCTACATCTAAGTTCAAGGATCTGAACTTGTGCTGCTATCGTTAGGGAAAAGTTGTTTTTCTTTAACCATTCCAAATATTTCATTCATAAGGGAGGCCTGTAGTTAACCTCTCCACTTATGCTCTTCTGCCATCCTGTGATTTGTTTGACCCCCTCTTGGGGAAACAATGCAGGACCACCTGGTAACATCTTATTTTGCTGATGGGGAGCAAATTTACCAGGCAATTGCAAAATACTGTTTTTTTTGAGGGAAAGCAGAAACTTAAGCATCAATCAGAGTGTTTTGGGGAAAAAATAAGCCAATAATGTTTATAAGTCATCAAAACTTATAGTCACTGGTGTGGTGCTGTCCATGTTTCGTGCTGTGGTGGATATGCCCAGACCCTAGAAGCAGCAGAGGGTCATGGGGTGGGGGTTTTGAAGAGAAATAAAAACACAAATGGGAGCAAAATAAGTCATCAGCTTTGGTGCCATTGATCGACTGTGCTGGAATGGACAGGTTTTCGATGCTTTTAAAATCAGGATTTTATATAAGTACTGTAACACATTAGATCTGAACATTTTTTGCTTATCTCTCAAAAGCCTCGCTGATAATCCCCCATTAAATTTGGAACTTTGAGCACCAAGAATGGTCTGTGTAAGATGAAATGGAAATATAAGTATATAAAGAGAAAAACAAACTCAGGCAATGCCCATTTTAACATACAAATCAAATAATCAGATCTAAAGACCATCTGTTTAGCTTTATAATCTATCTCTGGGTCTAAATTATAAAGCAGTTTGAATGTTGAGTGACGTAATGTTATAACTTCTTTTATATTTAGGTCTTTGGGTCCTGAAAACCTGTTGCTGAAAGGTGCTACCCTCAAAAATACCAAGAAGATTTATGGTGAACCATTATTAATAATAATTTATTATTTTATTTATTTAAATAGTTCTGATAAATAATGACAGAAGTAGATGTTCATCACTAAGTCTGGAGAGGGAGATACTTCTCTACAGCCTGTCAGCCTGAGCTCTACAGTTATGTTTGGTACGCAAAGTGATTGCGAAGTTGACAGGGTAAAATCAGGCGATACTGGTTATATCTGCAGGCCTGCCAAGCTGTGCCAGTTGTGTTAATACACCTGAGGAAGCTTTTCTTTTTGCCTGAGATATGAAGAGCAGGGAGTTGTTTCCCAGTCCTTTGTTGAAAACGTGTGCTAGGATCACGGTCCCAGGCACTAGCGATTGAGGGTGACGGCTGTTTCAGGAGACTGATGTTTTTTCTGACTGTGCGTGGTCCATAGGCTCCTGCTCAGTGCTCTGGGATATATGCAGTTGCATTACTTAGCAGCCTCGGAGGTTTCTGTAGCTGAACAGTCCTTGGGTAATGCCTCTCTCTTCAACTGGGATTCGAGTTTCATGTAAATACCGATGCCCCTTTATAGCTAAGTGCAAGCTGGGTCCCTCCTGGGCTGCGAGTCGCTTATGAGCCCTGCTTTTATACCCTGTAGGAGTTGCAGTCTATACTGGAATGGAAACGAAAATGGCTTTGAACTACCAAGGGAAATCTCAGAAACGGTCTGCTGTAGAAAAGTGAGTATTTATAGTCAGCAAAAAATCATTAGAAGCTGTTGGGTTTTTTGTTTGTTTGTTTTTCTTCAATGGATGGCTCGTACAGAAAGGATCTCCTAACCTGCTGCCTTTTGTTTCAGATGCTCTCTGATTGCATAGAAAATCTGTATATTTGCTTAAACATATCTTTCAAGAAGCTGCATCATTTAGCTTTTTTATTTAAAGATAAAATTAAGAAATGTTATAATGTATGAACTGACCCTGAATATCAGCACTGTCAAAAGCACTTATTCTGTAATGCCCTTCTTGAAAGTAACGAAGTCTTGTTCTTGCTTATTTGCATTATTTTCTACATAAAAATAGCTGCAAGAATTTAAAAAAGAAACCTATTTTTCAGATCTATCAACGCTTTCTTGATAGTGTATTTGTGCATCCTATTGAGCAAGGCTACTGTGTGCACGACTCTGAAATATGTCTGGCAGAGTAATCCATTTAATGATGAGCCTTGGTACAACGAAAAGACTAAAAAAGAGAGAGAGACGTTCAAGGTAAGTCGATTTGTATTTTGGCATCTCCTCCAGCTTTATTTGTTCTGACAGTTTTATTTAATCTGATAACGTCTGCTGCCAGCCCTGTGAGTCCTGTTTGCTTGCTGGAAGTGCTGTCATTTCCTTCGGGCTCTGCTCTCCTGCTGTTTGCATTTCTTTCCTGCCTCTCCTGTGCCTATGCACGGCGATGCTTGCATGGAGTGGGGCAAAGCATAAATAAATATTATATATTATAGAAATGCAGCAGCTGATTTGTACTGGATCCTTATCTGAATTTGAGCTATCTCTCAGCTTCAAGTAGATAAATTGAGGCCACGTCAACTGGCTTCTTAAACTTGCCGAGATGCAGGCAGTCAAGCCTGAAGGAGTGAGTGTGAGTGTGTAGAAATCGGTTATTTGAGGGATTATTGAGTAGGATTTATAGGGATGTCACTGCATCATTTGTACACTCGCCACAGCTTGACTGGTGTCAAGCCACTTGCTCCTTCTTTCTATTTCCTTGAGATGGGAATGATCCTGTAGCACTATATTTTTAAGAGGAATATACTTGAATAAAACATCATTTTGGTCACTATGAGGCAGTGAGTTACACTCCTGTGTTATACCCTCATAGATCTGCAGAAGACAATGAGATTTTCTGCATCGAAGGAAAATGGAATTTGGCCCTGTATCTGAGCTGTATTTTCAGGTTGTTTTTCTTTATTTAGAAGAAAAGCTTAGAAGAAGCGTAGAAGAAAGCTACATACACCTTAGAAGAAAAGCTGTCTAAAACCCCAGAGGTGTTGCTGTAAACTGCCCCCGAGTTACGCCTGACAAGCACAGACTGCATCTTCTCCTCTTTCTGTTGCAGGTCTTACGGATGTTCACAGATTTCTTGTCATTTATGGTCCTCTTCAATTTTATTATCCCGGTCTCCATGTATGTTACAGTAGAGATGCAGAAGTTCTTGGGTTCCTTCTTCATCTCTTGGGACAAGGAGATGTATGACGAAGAAATAAAAGAGGGGGCATTGGTGAACACCTCAGACCTGAATGAAGAGCTCGGGCAGGTCAGAACGTGCTCTGTTTGCATCTGCTTGGATGAAAATGTCCTCCCTGATAGGAGCCCTTGTTGCGGCAGTCACTCGTGGTCCCCTCAGGGCAGAGCTTCAGCCTGTTTGGTGGCACTTTCCATTTAGTGTGATTCTACTCACTCTACAAAATGGATAAGGTTATAAATAGTGCATGAAAGAGCAGGAATTGGGTCATGGCAATTGTTTCCATGTTGGGGAATATCAGGCGCAGTGCTCTGCATGTCAGGGTAGTTTGCTTTCACTGCTTCAATTAAAAATCCTCTGTCTCTTCGAGGATTAATGAAAATGTCTGCCCAGTCATCGCTCTGGGTGTGCAGTGCACATGCAGCCTTGCTGCTGCTGGCTTTGGGGCAATTAGATCTCTCAGGCTTCCCTTTCGTATCTACGTCAGGAGAGGCTGAGCGTAGGGTATGAGTAGTGCCTCCTGCTTTTTGTTTTGCTATTAAAAAAAAAAAAAGGCAATTTGGAGTAGCAATTATCTAATTTAAATACAGCACCAAGATGAAGATCCCCCAAAGGAGGCAGCAGAGCTGCAGCAGCAGCTGTATAAGCACTGGAAGCTATAGCAAAGGACCCAGTAAAGCGGATGAGGGGAAAACGAAGAGCCTGGAAACAGATTTTAAGTCTTCAGGAGCTGCCTCCTGCCACCTGTGCAAAACCACTGAAAAACAAAGGAGCCGCTCTGAGGAGTGAAGTAGTAAAACTACACAGTGGTGTAACTCCCGTGGGGCACCTGCATCTTTTTGGGGGGCCGGGTTATTGAGGATAACATGCACTAAAATGCCCCAGCTTCTCTGGTTTTGGGGGGCTCCTTCCCTGTCGTGTGGGGCTGAGGGTGGAGCAAGGCATCCTGACTGCTTGTTCTAGGTGGAGTATGTCTTCACGGACAAAACCGGAACCCTGACGGAGAACAGCATGGAGTTCATCGAGTGCTGCATAGATGGGCACACGTACAAAGACTGCATTTCGGAGGTGGATGGCTTCTCTCAGACTGATGGACCTCTAAAATATTATGGCAAAGCAGAAAAGGTAGGAACTTTGCATGTTGATGACCGTTAGGGTTTTGTGGTCAGCACCTGGCTGCGTAAACACAGCAGAAGCTGGGGGGGGTGTTTTTTTCTTTTAAAGTATGCATACAGAAAAAATCACGATCAAGCACTGGGGGTGGGCTTGGTGCATGGCGTCAAGCTGGTAACGAGCCCTCCCTTGCTCCTGCCTAGAGCCGCGAGGAGCTGTTCCTGCGAGCCCTCTGCCTCTGCCACACCGTTCAGATCAAGGAAGCAGACCAGGTGGATGGGCTGATGGGACATCCAGAACGCAAATACAGCTATATCTCCTCTTCCCCAGATGAAATTGCTTTGGTGAAAGGCGCAGAAAAGTAAGAATATGAAGATGGTGGGGTTTTTCCTTCCCTCTCACCTGGTGGGAGGGAGGGGAGGGTTATCTGAAGGCAGTAGACTGCTTTCCCCAGTCAAGACTGCATCTCTTTCTCTGGGAAGCACGTTGTGATACCAGTGCTGGGCCTGACCCGCAGCCCTGTGAAGCCACGCGAGCCTGTGGGTTTAAATGAGCTCTCTGTAAAAGGGATGCTTTGGAAAGGGTCTCCCTGAGCAGGTTTTCGGGAGGCCATGGTTTGCGTTCACTGCTGAGAGCAGCCCCAAGGTGCCGCAGTGCCCAGCTGGGGCAGAGGCTCCTTTGCTGGAGCCCCATGGCCATGCGTTTTAATACCCAAGAAATGGAGACCAGTTACTGTGTGCATATTGCAGCCGAATTGCTTCCTTGGTGCACAGTGGCAAAATAATAGGATGGGTTACTTTTATCAAACCCATGTTTGAACCTTGCTGAAGATGCCGAAGGCCAGGTTGGATGGAGCTTGGAGCAACCTGATCTAGTGGAAGATATCCCTGCCTATGGCAGGGCAGCTAGAACTAGGTGATCTTTAAGATCCCTTCCAATCTGAACCATTCTATGATTCTATGCTATTTGCCAGCCCCTAGGTTTCAGACAGAGGCTGTTGCAGCTGTATATACTTGCTTGTGGCTTGTAAATCTGCCAGAGACCCAGGGGACCGCATCCAGAGCCTCTTGGCATCGGTGTGCTGTGGTGCCCAGCTCTCCAGGTCATGGGGGCACTGCCAGAACATCATAACAGGCTCTGTGTGGAGCAAGCAAACATCTAGCCAAGCTTTTTAGCTCAGGCTTGCTAACTTCTTTGCTCTCTGCAGTACAGAAGGTGAAACGAGAACGTCGTTAATGTATAATATGTGCCAATGGGTGTTTTCAATGTTCTGTCCTTTTGTTTATTGACAGGTATGGTTTCACTTTTCTAGGACTTGAAAACGATTTCATGAAAATACAAAACCAAAAGAATGAAACTGAAATGTAAGTGCTGCAGGGGCCACCAAGGAACGGGGCTGCTAGTGCTGCACTGGCTCCCACCTGGCTTAATCGAGTTTGGTCAATGTGGCCAACCTGGCAAGGTCCAAGCTGTTCCGTGAGGGCTGTCAGACAGTGCTGACCTGCGCAAAAACTCCTGTCCTTTTTACAAAGCGCGGCACAGAAAGGTGCAGGCTGGAAGGCTTGCTTGCAGAAACCTGCTGTCAGTTTTGGTGATGACTAAATTCAGGTCTCTTAAGTGCCTGCGGTCCCTTGCATGTATCCTTCATCCATGCCCGGCTGCACAGGTGGCTCCCGGGATTCACGGGGTGGTTTCTGACCTTATGGACAGTGGCTGAGCCTCACAGCAGCATACTCCAAGTTTAAACTGTGTGATATGGCTCACTTCCCTGTAACGTTTTTCCCCTCCCGAGCTGAAAATAATTAGATTTTACTCTGTGCTCACAGCTCGGGTGACATCTGAGTATCACTGACCTAATCCCAGCACTCCCCAAGAACGTGCCTTCACAAGCAAGTTTCACTTCTTACTCCTCATATGGTGAAACTTCTCATTTCAATGCCAGGGCCGATGTCGCTGCCTGTGGCGCGTGGGGCCCCGCTGCCTGCTGAGCCGCTGCCTGGCCTGGGGGCTCGCTGCGCTGGTGGGCAGCGAGTGGATGGAGCCCAGCCGCAGGCTAGAACCCAAAGCTTCGCTGCCTGGTGGGAGGTCTCGTGTGTGCAGCTGCACCCTCAGCCCCATGCTCAAAGCAGCACTGGTGTTTTGGTTTTTTTACTCCATTTTTCCTGTGCATTACTTGCAAAAAGTACATTGCCCAGTGGGCACTGCCACTTATAGGGTGTATGGATTTCTGCAGCTCGTTTTTAGTGATTTTCTGTCTTAAATAGTTATTTTTCTTTTACTGAGTCTAAGCTCTATTCTTTCATTTTTTTAAGGTACCAACTCCTCCATGTGTTGAACTTTGATCCTGTCCGTCGCCGTATGAGTGTCATTGTGAGAACCACCACAGGTACAGTTAAAACACATTTCTGGACTCCTATACAGTGTGCACAAATAAAAAACATGTCCTCTTTATTCCTGTACTGAGCGTGCATAATGCCACGCGCTGTAACCCAGAGAGGCTAAAGCTGTTAGGCTTTCTAAGCTGGTCTAATTAAATTTTGTACTGGGTCTGGCTGGGATAGAGTTAATTTTCTCCATATCGGTTGTTGGGGGCCAGCAGCAGATAAGGGGAGTGGACAGGGATGGAGACAGTGACCCATGGAGACCTCCCTGCTTGCCTTGTTCTAGCCTGGAGGTGCAAGTATGGGGTCGGGAGGGAGATGTGAGACCTTCACCTGAGTGGGATGGATTTTCATGAGGATAGCAGACACAAATTCAGAGGTCACCATCCTTTTCAAATATCAGTCCCATACGGTATCGGATGCTGATTTTACCCTGCCTGAAAAGGTTGCCTGCTTCTAAATAGGAAAAAATAAACTGCTTTGTCCAGCCTGTTGCAGAAAACTGGCTCAGAGGCAGGTAGGGACACCCCATATCCCAGCCCGAGATCAAACAAGGCTTTGCACAGGTGAGTGCAAGGCCACTGTTGGTAGACAGCTGGGCTTCTAGCAGTTTCTTGTCTAGTCCTGCCAGATTTCCTCCCTCTGCATCATTTGCTGGCTATTGAATCTGCTAAGTCTTTCTATGGCTTGTGAACGCTATAAACTATTTCTTGTCTGCTTTTAGGAAAGTTACTTCTCTTCTGTAAGGGAGCAGACTCCTCTATTTTTCCAAGGGTGCAGCAAGAAGAAATCCAACAAACGAAAGTCCATGTGGACCGCAACGCTGTGGTGAGCACGCGGCTGGAATTTGGCTGGCTCCTGGGGTTAGGAAAGCCTTATTCCAAAAATAGGGATGTGACCTTGCTTTGGAGGGAAGTGTTGAAAATCCGAGTGTCAGCTCACATTGTTGTGAAGCCAGGCTTCTTTCCTTTCCTTTTCTGTTTTTTTTGGCTTCCAACGTTTATTTGACTTTTGATATACTTATATGGTCTCCATCACAGTTGTGTCAGAGCATCTCCCAAGTAAGTTAAAAATAGAAATAACAATAGCAGACTGTTTGCTCCGGTGGAAGAAGTGCCTGCTCCCAGTTGTGGGGACACCGATCCCCGTTGTCCCTGCTGGATGCTCTCAGCTCTGGTCCTTCTCTTAGTTTCTCTCTGCTGTATTACATGCACATAATAAGTGTTACCACAGTTACTCTGATGAGAAGCAGTTACTCTATAAACAGAGAAAAATTGGTCTTTTGACTCAAGCCAACAAATTGTCGTTGCCATCAGGGTCAGTACTGACAGAAAGCAGTGATGGTGAAGAGCACTAGCCATAAAGAGAGGAGCTGTAGAAAACCCGGTTTTAGGGCACTTGTCCTACAAGGATGGCTACCGAACGCTTTGCGTGGCATTCAAAGAACTAACTCAAAAGGAGTATGACAAAATTGACAAACAGCTTAATGAAGCTAAGATGGCTCTGCAGGACAGGGAGGAAAAGATGGCGAAGGTGTTTGAAGACACAGAAGCAGACATGCACTTGATTGGGGCTACTGCTGTAGAAGACAGGTAAAGAGGTGACCACCACCACCACTGACACTGGTACCTGCAGTTTCTCCCTGACGTTGCACCGTGGTGGAACTGAGCAGCCAGGGAGATGCTGGGAGTGTCCAGGGCAGTTACTTATTCGGTGTACAGCCCATTACATGGTGCCCTAGTTGCTAAAATTGGCTGATGTAGTAGGAATTAGGATTTATTAATGAAACTATGGAAGTACTTGGGTTTCTAGAAAATGAATTACGTATGCAGCATTAATTTGCACATCAAAACAAAATCAGTTATAGTAACTGTATGTGTAAATCTAACTCCTATTCTTGACTCTTAGGTCTCACAATATAATGCAGTAATTTTCTTTTTGGCTGCAAATAAAAATATGGGATTGCTGACTTCTAATCCTTATTCCTGTGGCAGTGGTCTCTCCAGCACAGGGAAAATCAATTAACTTCTCTCTAGCTGGTATTTCCTACCTGCAAAATAAGGGTTATATGGATTAAGTGTGGACCAACCTGAGAAGTGACGTTTTGCTTCTCCTTGCAGGCTGCAGGAGCAGTCGGCAGAGACGATCGAAGCTCTGCACACAGCTGGCATGAAGGTTTGGGTGCTGACGGGAGACAAGATGGAAACTGCCAAATCCACCTGCTATGCCTGCAGGCTTTTCCAGACCAGCACCGAGCTGCTGGAGCTGACGGCAAAAATGGTGGGGGAGAGCGAACGAAAGGAGGATCGGCTCCATGAGCTGCTGATGGAGTACCATAAAAAGTTGATTCAGGACGTTCCCAAAAACCGAAGAGGCCTGAAGAGGTAAGTGAGTAAGAGGACCCAGCGCACGTGCATTCAGGATGCAGATGGGAAGTTTATGGAGAAATAAGACCATGTTGAGGCACGGGGAACTCGCTGCCTGCACACACTGCAGCTGGCTCCTTCGTTTTGCTCAGTATCATCTCCAGTATTAGTTGGCTTTGTGCTTAATTGCACAGTCCCCTAGTGAAGGGCGCGTGTTAAATTGAGGCTTTTTATGATTGCTAAGCCCCCTGAAAGGGATGAGAAGAAGATTAATGCAAAAGCAGTTTCTTTTCCACTAAAATGATACAAGTGGCTAGATTAACTTCTTAAAATCTGGGGGTTTTTTCCAACCTGTTCTTCGTGTTGCAGAAGCTGGACATTGAGTCAAGAATACGGCTTGATTATAGATGGCTCAACGCTGTCGCTGATACTCAACCCTTCTCAGGACTCCAGTTCTAGCAATTACAAAAACATATTTCTACAAATCTGCTTGAAGTGTACTGCAGTCCTCTGCTGCCGGATGGCTCCTTTGCAGAAAGCACAGGTATTTACTCTACTTTTAACTGGCTGAAGCACACCGTTAGGTGATGTGATGCACTTTTAATCCATTGGCTGGAACTTGACCTGATCATCTTAATCAGCTAGGACTTCTCCAGGCTATGTGTAAGCCTTGTCTGAGCTTTAAAATGTGATGGAAACACACCAGCCTTTCCAATCTGAATGTAAAAACTTTATTTAATATGCTCACAGGAAGCCACAAGCCCAAGCCAATTAGAAATAAACAAAACCCCTGTTTGTTCTTTTTTCCTTTCCAAATTTGTCAAGTGGAGTCTGTGACTTCCTCACGCTAGCTGATGGTATCCAAGTCTGAGAAGTGGTGTGTTTCTGCCCTGTGGGAGGGTTTCTCGGGAGGTTTCCTGCCCCGTGAATGCCTGAGTGGTCCCATCTTTGGGAGAGCGGGGTCTGGCAGAAGGGAAGGGTGGGATGCTGCCGCCTGGGATTTGTTTTTAAATACTGTCCTTCAGCCCTGTGTAGCTGGATCTTGGCTTTTGCTCTGGTTGGTGACTGTGAAGGAAGTGATGAGGGGGTTTATTAATCTGAGTTCTCCAGGTGTTATTTTGCTGCTGTAGAAGCCTGGTTGCGTGTCCTGTGGGCTCTTGCAGTGGGATCTCTGGAGGCTGTTTAGCTGAATTTTTGGTTTCTGCTGCTATCCTTTTTTTAAAATCTTTTAGATTGTGCGAATGGTGAAGAACACAAAAGGGAGCCCGATAACACTCTCCATAGGAGATGGTGCAAATGATGTTAGTATGATTTTGGAAGCACATGTTGGAATAGGTAAGACCCATCTGACACCTAAGACCTGTCTGCTGTTGCTGGGGTTCACTGTTGAGGTGCAGTCAGCATTTCTGATTGCACATGGCTAAACTGATCCCACTGAAAAATGCGGAAAGCCTGCTGTGGCTTTCTTTGGAGCCAGGCTTTGACTCCAGATAAATGCTTGGGATCATCATACACTGTTCACCTTTTGATAGTATCACTCTCTTTATCAGTGATAAGCTGCAGATCATGTTCAAAAACTCTTATGGCCGAATTCAAGGTGGTAAAGGTTGCTTGCTGGTCAGAAAAAAAAGGCACAAGTAGTGAACTGATGGGTGATTACCGGCAGTTGTTGCAAAGGCAGTGCAATGAAAATATCAGACTTTATTAGGGCTGTCTGGTCATAGCTGCTAGTGACTCAGCACTGGGGACCCGCACGTGTTTCCTGAGGGCTCAGTGATGTTGTATGTGCCCTGTCCATACAACTGACATCAGGCTGGAAACTATCCTCCTTTCTGCAGATTGGTGTTGGGAAATACTGGAGGTTTTTAATACCGCTAAAGAAGGGTTGATGGAAGAGAAAGAGCCGCCTCCTTATTTGGGGCTGTTGAAAATGCCACGGTGCCCTCTAATGAATGGGGTCCCAATGCAGTTCGTTTGGATGTGGTTTTTGAGTGAACAAAACTGTCTTTCTTGAGCTCAGCTCTGTGGGGTTGTCCCGGGGGGGCTGAGTATCTGCAATGAAATAACTAGGCTGTGTGAGATGTGTGCAAGCCCGTGGGGAAACCAATTCCTTATCTCTTATCAGGTTTGTTTAGATACTTCTCACCACATTCTCTCACACAGGGCCTCAGGCAGCAACCTAAATATAGCTTAAAAACTCCAGAGGCAGGTCTGAGTGTTGTGGAGCCAAAACCACGCTGAGTGTTGCAGCACGTTAGCTTTTTGCTCTCCTGGGGCACTGAAGAGGGAAATATGGCCTTTGTCATGCCTTAAGACACTGAGTGATGTGACCAAACCTAGTGGGTAGCATCAGTCCAGATTCCAGTCCTTTAGGGATTAACCCCTTACCATGCTTCTGTCTCCAGGTATAAAAGGCAAAGAAGGACGACAGGCTTCCAGAAACAGCGACTATGCTGTGCCAAAGTTTAAACATTTAAGAAAATTGCTACTAGCACATGGGCATTTATATTACGTGAGAATAGCACACCTTGTACAGTATTTCTTCTATAAGGTAAGGATGTTTGTGCAGCTTATTTCTTTGTTTATATTATGGGTTTCTTTTACAATAGGAAAAAAAAACAGTAAAGGGGAAAAAAAAATGTATAGATTATTCTGTAGCTCTGTTTTCCTTCCCTAGAACAGGCTGTGCCTCTGCCTGTCAATTGAAAGCAGTGCTTACAGGGGAGTGTGAGCATGACTTTGCTCCAGTGTCTTCTGCAGATACTAATTGCTTGTTGGATTAGTTTTGTGCTTGGTAGAAAACAGTGCCCTAACTTGTCCAATATTACAATATCAGACATTGGCGTCTGATAACAGGAAAAAATATTTGGATTTAGATTGAGAAGTCAAGCGCTTCCCTGCTAACTGTTTGTCCTTTGTTTCCCTAGAACCTTTGCTTCATTTTGCCGCAGTTTTTATACCAGTTCTTCTGTGGATTCTCACAGCAGGTAACCACCAGTAACGTGTCTATATAGCCAGGATAAAAAGCAAGAAGCACAGTGTGGCTTCCTAGCAGAGACTTGGCTTTTGGCGTCCTGTCCCTTCCTCATCTTGCTTTAGAGGACAGTAGGAGCCAACCTCATTGCTTAGCACCGTATCTGGAGTGTTTTTGAGACCCATAACTGAAAAGAAAGAAATCTGGGTTTTCTTCTGTTCCCATCCACCACCCATAAACACAGATGGAGACCTTCCTAAAATAACAAGAGAGGTTTAGCTGGTTTGTCAGCACCTGATTTGACTACTTCTACCTCTCTTAAGAGAAAAAGTTTTCAAACCTGATCTTTTCTTCTCTGCTGCATTTCTCTGCATTAAAGGTGTCTCTCAAAGGGAAGAACAGTTTGTTCTTTTATGACAGCCTTTAAAAAAAGACACATGATGAGTGTCATCAGAGACTTGCGTAGTCCAAGTGAGCGTCAGAAGGACAGAACCGAGTGGTGGGTGGGCTCACGTGCTTGGAGACAAGAGCTTTGGCTTTTCTGTCAACTTATGGGCTTTTGTGTCTATTTGCACCCAAAAGTAACGGTAAAGAAGAGTAAATGATAGGAGATAATTCTCTGCTTGCCTCAGCAGAACCACTTGCTTTTAAAAAAAAAAAAAGAAAAAAAAAAAGAACCATAGTTCCTCTGAAACAGTCTAGTCTTTGGAGAGTCACAGGAGACATCAAGTATATTAATAGAAACAGCAACACAAGAGCAGCTACAGAAAAGCTGTGAATAAGGGCTGTATAATCACATTTTTCTGGAGAATGAGCTGGCAATGAGACCAGCCAGTTACAAAGCTTCCCAGCGGTGGGAGTGGGGTCCTGGCCATGCAGTCGGCAGGTGCCTTGGCCCCGCTGGCATCACATGGAGCATGACCTCTACCAAATAAAACTGTCCTGTGTGGCTGTGACAAAGGGATGAATCTGTAGGGTATGTACAGAGGCAAGAGCTGGAAACTTTTAATCTCTTTGTGGGGAGACTTTTTAAAGTGGAATTTCTGTCTCATTTTACCCCTTCTTCCTCTTTTAAGCCCCTGTATGATGCTGCTTATCTTACCATGTACAACATCTGCTTCACATCACTACCTATCCTGGCGTACAGCCTCCTGGAGCAGCATATCAACATCGACAGGCTGACCTCAGACCCACAGCTGTATATGTAAGTAGCACTGGACGGGGTAAGCCTCTGCACAACTTGGTTATCCGTGGTTTAAGTTTTGTTGGTGCAGGAGCATAAGCAGATGTCTCTGTCCAGTGTCGGCGATGGGGTCACCATGAAGCGTGGTTTTTGGTTTTGTCCCTGCTGGCTCTGCTGATGCTGCCTTAGAGCTAAGCAATGTCCTTTTCACTGCCCATTTCTATTTATTTCTGCTCTCTAACGGTATCTGGTCTAGCAAATTGCACTGCTGTGTCTCTATAAAAAAAATAAACTGTAGGTGGAATTCTTCATCTGTAATAAAAATCGAGCTGCAAGTGTGGCCAGACCATTCATTCATGTTAGCTTTGAGCCAGGCAGCATGAGCCAAGCACATGATAGAGTGTGTAATGGATGGAGGGGAGATCTAGCTTTCAGGAGGAAAAAAGATCCATTCATTTTCAGAAAGATGAACGCTCCTGAAGCCCAGCTCAGGCAGGTAGTTTCTCAGCTTGCCTAAATGGATATCCTCCCTCAGGCTTCCCCTCCACAGGCCACATCCCCTTATCAGAGGCTGTTACCAGGGAACTCTGCTCCACGTGCTTGGAGTTTTCTGCCATGTTGCCCATGGAAAGCCCGGTTTAAGAGGAGACTGCCTTTCTTTGCTTTGCTGGTTTCTTTCTCTTCTCCTTTGGTTGCAACCAAGGAGGACTCCAACCTCCCACGGAAGCCGAGATGCTTCCCATCTTCCCCCCACCGCTGCCCACGCACATGTGCTTGGGTGCAGCCCTTCAGCAAGGACTAAGGAAGATGCTTTTTTTGAGAAGCCCCTGCTCGTGCATCACTGTTGCTAACTCCCTTGCCTGGCAGTAAGCTTGGTGCCGAGTTCTCCCCTGCGGAGAAGAGAGCAGGTTGGGGCTGCTCTGGCCAGTGCCCTGTGCAAGCCCTGTCACCGTCGTACGACGCTCCTCAGCCGTGGAGGAGCTGTGTGTGGCAAAGCCGTGCTCAAGCCAAGAGCGATGCCTCTGCAGGGACTGCAAAGGGAATTAGCAGGTACCTAAATATACTGCGTGAAAGTTGCTTTAGGTATAGAAAAACCAGCAAATGCAATAAGGGCTGTAGGACTAGGATGGAGGCTTGGGGGCTTTTGAAGTACTCAGATCCACGATTGATTAGACCTCTGTGTTCCTCCACTCGTGTGGCAAAATTCCACCACATGTATTTTTAAGTAAACTGGTAATTGAATATTGTGCATCATAGCCCAGTAACAGCAGGCCCCTGTGCCTTCGCCTGGTGGGCTGTCTGATCTCTGGGGTCTGTCCATTGAGGGGAAAACTCAGGCAGAGTAATGTAATTGTGCAGGCAGAGAGCTTTAGTTTGAATATTCATGACTGTGCGAGTGCTGCCGAATGCAGAACGACTGCTGTGCCTCTGCTGTATGAAGTGCTGAGTTGCTGCAGTGCAGATCTCTAGTCTGAGGCGCCGTAAAAAGCCTGTTTACGACGAGCGCTGCAGGACATAAATGTGAATGCAAAACACAGCTCGCACCGAGGATATTGGTTGTATTTTTCTCTCCTTGCACTAAAACCCACTTACAGTCTGGTTTATCCGTGCTCCTTGCTCGTACCCAAATTGCAGTAAGTTAGAGCATTGTCACTGCATCATCAAGCATAGGATCCAGTAGGGCTTTGTTTTTGAAACTGGTTATAGGAGCCCAGCACCACACCAGTCTGCGAGGTGCATCTTGCTGAAAATGGATGTATTGCTTCAATAGTTAGGAAGAAAAATTGGAAAAGGATGGGGATTTTTGGTTTTGCCATAAATATGCTTTTATCCCCCACCAATCTTCAAGTTTTAAAGTAATTCGAAAAGATAATGATGCAGGAAACTTTTTTTAACTCCCTCCTGCCCTGATGGCCACCCTCTACTCCCTGGGCTCTGCGTGCGGTCCGTACAGAGCTCTGCCCATGGCACATCCGTTTGCTGCCGCTGCCTCCGTGCCAGATCTCATGCTATATTCAGCCACGAGCCTCCTGTTACAACCCCCGTGTTAAAAACACCCACCCTACGATTCAGGAGGTTATTTTCAGCTTATGCAGAAAAATGTTCCTTCCAGGGACGGAACTTGCAGAGCTTTTCTCAGAGGGAATTTGTGCATTGAACAAAAAGAGGGAAACACACCACGAATTTGCTGCATCCATACGGCTCTTTAGCATTGCCCTGGTTTTAAAATTCAACAGTTCATGTCAGAGAGGCTCAGGACAGTGTTACAGCTGTTTGCTTTGGGCTGGCTTGGATTTTAGTCCAAGTTACCTAGGGGGGAAGGACAAAACAAATGAATATGCTGAATCTCCCAGGATTTCTCATGCCCAGCAGCCGCATGTGGCCAATGCTGTTTATGTCCCGTACGCTGGCAGGTATTTACTTGTTTTACCTCCTTGTCTCCTACAGCAAGGGCTGGCTCCAAAGCTGGCTGATCACCTGGCTGTGGGGGGGCTTTGCAGTGCACCCTAAATGTGACGGTGACGTTCTTGTTACTCCGTCTCTTGGCAGGAAGGTTTCGGATAATGCAATGCTGCAGTGGAGGCCGTTCCTGTACTGGACCTTTCTGGGCGCCTTTGAAGGACTTGTGTTTTTCTTTGGGGTTTATTTTCTTTTTCAAAATTCATCGTTGGAAGATAACGGAAAGGTAACACCACCAAAAAAAGAAAGAGAAAGACGAGTGTTTCTTTTGTGCACTGCCTCTTTTACACTCCTGGCAGGGAACATCTACACGCTTAATCTCTGCAGTGTGTCTCGAGTCTTGTCCGGCGGCGTAGCCTTGCTTATGGTGTGATTCTGCAGCAAATGCTTGAAACGAAACATTTTTCCAAATTACCATGGAAACAGGGTAGAGCTGGTTATACTCACTAGGTAAAATAACTAGTCTTACCCACAGCTTTATTCCAACTCGGTGAGCTTTGCACAGCACTCTTCTGCGTGGCCCAGGCGTTGGCCCAGGGCAGGAGCAGCGCCCGTCCTTCCCCGCGGTGTGCTGCCTGAAATCCGGCGCGCGCTCCGCCGCTTACAAGCAACTGAATTAGCCCACCTGAGAGGATGCTGCTCATCCACCCAGATGGGGCGCGGGGCTGCTTGCGCACCGCGCCCGCTCCGAGGCATGATTTCGGCCGCCCTCCTCCCTTTGTGGTGGGGGAAGGCTGGTGCTGGGGGTTTGCTACCGTTTCGGAGCCAGCGTCAGTTAGCACCGCTGTCAGAGCGAGCAGGCTGTTCTTCTTCTCCCTGCTGTCTGCTTGCTCGTGCCTCTCGTGTCAGGACAAGCGCTTGCGTTGCCACGTGAGCGAGGTGTGGGAGCTGCTCCGGGTGAACTTGCACAGAAAGGGGAGGTGGAAAAAAAAAAAAAAAAATTCTTTTCCTGTTTTCTTTTTTCTTCTTTTTGCTGGTTAACTGAGTACAGAGCAAAGAGTGTGGCTGCCACACGTGGTGGCCTGGGCTGTCTCAGGACCCTTTCCCCAAGGGAGTACACAGCATTTTACCGGGTCTTGGCTTGATGGAAAAAAGCTTTACACCATCGCTTGTGACCCTTGAAGATACCTTAAGCTTTTTTTAGCAGCTAACACTTGGAGAAAAGCTGATGAAATTTATGTATGTGTGTGCATACGTTGCATCGATACCAGCATTTATGGTCCCAGCTATAAGTAGTCAAGTCTCTATTGTAGATTCAGTGCCTTTCTGTATTTATGGCCGTTCTGGTTATATTTGAATAAAACATGAAGCACTGATACGTTCTGCAAATGCCTTGGGAGGTCAAGTCCGTGTGTCATTAAAATAAGATCTGTGGTTATGTCCTGTTTTGTAAACACTTATGCCTGTGAGAACTGCTACCAGCAATTGTTCATAATATCCATGTATGTTTGATTGACTCCTTTTTCGCTCCTATTGACTTTAATTTTTTTGCATTTTTTGAAAACTTTTACATTTCACTTTCTGTTTTAATGTATGCATTCAGATCTTGACAGCCTTTGGTAAGCATCCCTCCCATTCATTGCCATCGTTTGGATTTATATACAGTATCTGCTTTTCTTTGTCGTGCGTAGTCACTAGTATCTGCAAACCAAACCAGATGGAAAAATACCCACTGGTGCATTCTGCAAACGGGACTAAAGCGAGACGATGAGCAGACGTGTTGCGAGAAAGCAGAAACTGAGTAAATTACCAAGAAAACATGAAATGCAGGTGGTCCAATGACTTGTATCCTCGATCGATATTGCTGTTAGTAGGAGGTTGTACCTGTCACCATCCCAACTCTGGGTCACCCGTCTGTGTGGCACTGCATGGCACAGGGTAGCGTAGTGCCCGGCGCCTCTCCGAGCATCAATCCCCCGTAGCAGTCGCTCCGTCCCGTCCTTCCCCTCCGGTCCCTGCTTGCACCCCAGTCCTCATCGTTGTTTCTGTGCCTCTCCAAAGAGATGAACCGGGACGCCTGTGGCAATGTAATGTGTTTTTCAGGTTTTTGGGAATTGGACCTTTGGGACGATTGTATTCACCGTGCTGGTGTTCACCGTCACTTTGAAGGTTAGTCTCTTCCTTCTTTTTCCAGTCACTTATTTTTGCAGTCATTTTCCAATGCATGTGTATGCGCTGTAAAATCGTGCAGGAGATGTTTTGAAGGTGAAGTTTCTATGAATATGTTTCCCACCACGCTTAAAACCTCTTCTTCCATAGAGGCAGAATTTGCTTATTGACCGCTGACCTTTGTGCAGTCTGTGGTCTGTATTCCTGGGCTGTGCTGGTCTCTAAGCATTTATGTTTTGATTAAATTATTTTCCTGGTTTTTGCCCCCTTCTGAGGACTCCAGTTGGTTACGGTTGACTTTTTCCCACACTTTCACCCCTTGGCGTTCAGTTCCAGCAAGAGGAGAGGAACAATGGAGAGCTTGGGTTTGTCCACCTTGTTTCAGACACCGCTGAGCACCGGAGGGATCACAAAAGCACATCTGACAAATAGTAATAGCAAATCTGCTTTGTTTCATGGAGCTTTCCAGAACAAACAGTTTGCACAAGACCTTGCAAAAGGTCTTTTATGTTTGATTCCGAGCAGCAGGTTGTGGCATGAGGCAATTACAGTCCCCGTAACCTTTAGACTTCTCTTTCCTGTAGCATCAGAGGTTGCATCAAATTTATTCTATTAAAAGATGCCAGTTACAATTAGACACTTGCTGTTTCCCTGTTGACATTATGCCAATCTGTAGATATTGAAAACATTTTCCCTGGCGCACATACGCGGAGAGGTAGCCGTTTGGAGAATTTCAACCTTAATGTGAAAGCAGTCAGAAATTTCATATAAATACAATCAAGTACACTCTGCATCTAATGCCTGTTCTGGTTTTTTGTTTTTATTCACACAGCTAGCGTTAGATACCCGATTCTGGACGTGGATGAACCACTTTGTGATTTGGGGCTCCCTTGCCTTCTATGTGTTTTTCTCGTTCTTTTGGGGAGGAGTCATTTGGCAAGTACCTTTTCTTCTTTCTTAGGGAATGGCCAGCGCTGGCTTTGCGGGGGACATGGCTGCAGCATCCCCTCGGTGGGGCTATCCAGAGATTTAGGGACGGCAGAGTGTGTGCAACCATGCTCCTTTCTCTACTGAAGAGATAGCCTAAAAGCAGATAATGCCCTGGTTGTGTCCAGGTGCTTGGCTTTGGTGAGAGGTGGTTTGCTTTTCTGCCCGTGGGATCATTTCTGGTGATGAGACCCTCGTCGCCTTTGGGAGGTTCTGGGGTAAATATTTCAGGATCTGTTTGTGCATGTGGGTGGGAAAGAAAATAAAAATTGATGATGGAAAGAAACCCAGTGATACAGAAGGAAGGGAACAGATGAAGCAGATGCAGAGCAAGAGGACCCAGCACTCTGGGGCAGCTTAAGAGGGAGAAATAGGCAGGAGAAAGTGCAGATGCTGCTGCTGAAATCCTGGATCTGAGTAGGAGAAGAAATTCTCATTGATTTGAGTGCGACCAGGATTTTAGGCTTAATGTCTTGCAAAAGCCAGACAAGCAATAGTACATTACAAATATTAGTTTTCTATTTCCCGTGCTGGAGTAGATGTTCATGTTGACATTCACAGTAGACAGCATCTCCCATTTTACACCTTTGCTTTCCCATGGGCTAGGGTCATGGGATTCGCTAGACCCTTGACCCAGCAGCCTGCTAATAAAGATGTGGAACTGATTTAAGTATTTTAATTGGGGCTTTGTTTAACTCTTCAGCGTTCCTAAACAACAGATTCAGATGTGCAATCTAGGCAGACCTCTGTGCTGAAATGTGTGAGTTTTCTGCTGGTGTGTTTAACTCGCAGAGCTCAATATTTTTGAGTTGATGCTAAGCAACAGCTGCTTTGGGATCCTTGCCATCAGTTATTTATGAGGCATTTTTCACAAGCACCTGTCGATTCCCCTCCATCATCAAGGGAGGGAGGAAGAGGCAAATAACCTGCTGAGACTGAGAGTCCCTGGACTTCCACCATCAGAAGCAAACCAGAAGCTATAGGAAATTCTGAAGTTGAAATAAAATAATCTTGATTTTTGATAAGGTGAATAATTTATCTTTCAGTGATGGTAGCAAAATTCAAACCCCTCCCCACCCCAAAATGAAACAGACGTGGAAGATGCAAAATACATCATGTAAGGTGACAGGACAGTCCTCCAGAAGTAGCGTACTTGAAGGAAGGAGTTGCATTGGGAGAAAGATGGACAGTGCAGGCTCTGTCCATCTCCATCTGGAAGGGAGGGATTACTGCTAACAGTTTGATCTGAATCTGCCTTTGATTTGGAACTTCTTGAGAAATCCGTGTTAACCAGAATTTATTTGTATCCTTTCTTTTTCAGGCCTTTCTTGAAGCAGCAAAGAATGTATTTTGTATTTGCCCATATGCTGACTTCTGTTTCCACGTGGCTGGCAATAATTCTCCTGATCTTTATCAGCCTTTTCCCAGAAATTCTTCTAATAGTTTTAAAAAATATAAAAGAGAAAAATCATGAGGTAAGAAACAAGATGATGTATCACGCAGTGTTTTTAGGAAGACCTCTCTTACTCTTAATCACCAGATGAACCTGTAACAGTACCATGTACCACTCGTGTCTCAAGGAAGGCTTTCTAGAGTCTCGTCTTGCTCTTGCACATGCCAGAGATGTCAAGAAGCTCATCTAAAAATACTGCCTAGATCTGTAGTGAGGAGAGACTCAACCGTGCCTTTCCTTGGTCGCCTCCACTGGATGGAAACTTGCCGTCTCTTACAAGAGGGCAGTAACCCTTTTCCAACCTGAACTGACCATCAAACCCACCATACTGTGTCCTGAAAAAAAAGCTGCTACTTTTTATGTCAACCCGTGATGTTCCCCTTGGGTATGGCCCCAGCTGCCGGTGCAGGGGCAACGTTTGCCCACCCCCTTAATAACCGAGGGCTCGTAGCGGGGCGTCAGCCTGCGGTGTCTAGCTCTCCTCAAAAGCGGTCTGGTTTCTTAACAGCTTTCCTCCGCTGCCGAGGAGGAGGGCTCCTTTTAGAAGTGTAAACCGTCTCCTAAAAGTTGTCTTCGTCACTCCTGGTGAACGCCAG